TATCTCGGTTTTCGCCTTTGTTTTTCGACACCTTTAAGCTTCGTTTCATCGTTGTTATCATAGTTTTCAGGCGAGGGAGTTTTGCCCTTCAATCCACCTTTCCGACGGTCAAACACATGTCAAAAACACGTGATCAAATTACAAAAATTCGGACAAACACATGGTCGGACATACTATAGTTTATATAGAGACGCAACAATAAAATGGTAAAAAGATGCGAATGGGGCACATGCAAATCTGATTCCAGATAACCAGAACGTTTGTTTAGAAAGACAGAAGGTATACACGTAACAGTCACCATTTTCCGTCGGAGAAAAAGCATAAGGAGCGAAGGGAAGCTTGGATACGGGCATGTTGTCGCGCTGAGCCGATGACGGCTTCGCAGGTTTGTAAGAAGGATAGTTACATATTATGTAGTTTGCATTTTATTGGAAAAACGGTTGAGCTGGAAAAAGAAGGTTATGCAAATTTATGACCCACTATTTAAAATAACATGCGCGATACTCGTCAAACGACTTGTAGGCGGCGAGACCCTGTTTTGTAAAATGGTTTATCAGGTAATTAAAAATATCATACAATCCAAAAGGAGGAGAATCACCAAAGTTATTTACCAAGTTGTACGAGAAAGTTAATGGATCAGCTATTTCCATATCATGAGTAATTAATTTATGGTTATCTTGAGAACTCTTTTTCTTCACAAAATTTGGATCGAATTGCAGCATCATCTTTTCAACAGCAGTTGCAATATTTAGGTTTTAAGGTGACGCTATAAACACCGCGCTCGCGAAGGTATGTTTTTAGCTCCTTCAATGTCATTTTGCTGACCATTTTCGAATCGCGAGCGTTAGACAACACTATTGTAAGGTAAGAAACGGCCGAAATCGTATTTCCTCTACATTTTGAGACATATAAAGAGCTTTAAAACGCAATGTGATCCTGACACTCCATATAAACTATAGCATGTCCGACAATGTGTTTTGTCCGAATTTTGGTAATTTGATCACTTTTTTTGACAACTGTTTGACTGGAAAGGTGGATTGAGACGTTTTTGTGGTGTTTTCATTAATCTTTTCAGCAGCTTTCTTCCGTGAAATATGGAAAAGGCCGACACAAACTCAAGGTAAAAATTTAGTTTTTTCCAAACTAGTTCGTCTAAGTTTTTAAAATGTATTTCATTTTTCTTCCTCTTATTTGTGCAAAATTTGGCGATATATATTTGCTGCAAAATTTATGTTTATGTGACAAAAATTATGGAAAAGTTACAGTCAGATTATATATAATATTCACATGCACCTGATGACTGAAATGGTTTCGTTAATTTAGATTTATTCACAAATATCAATGTATTTTTTATCTTTATACCACAGTAATACTGTAAAAATTGTTAAAAGTAACTGACTGAAATGTTTTTGTTTATTTCGTTTTAATAAAGTACAGACTTTATGCATGCCGACCTGAAGGCCGAATTTTATTTAAAAATCGAATTCGAATGCGTCTGACGTTCTCTATATTTTGTGTCAATACAAAACACTGTTTTTTCTATCTATTGCCATGCAAAAGAAAACGCCGCTGCTCGCATTGTGGCTACCTTTATAGTATAATATTGTGGGAAAAGAATATTAAATGGAAATTCAAAATAGAGAATGATATCATGTCTTCGTTATGAACATTTTACTATCCATGTCATGAATGTGTGCCAAGTTGAAGAGTTGTTTTGCTTTTGAGTCGGCATAACATCACATGTACTGTAGTCTATATAAACAGGGAAAATAAATAAAAAAACTCTGTTGCATATTTTATCTCTTATAGTTTCTGTCAACAGTTTTCTGCTAATTTTTTTCCTGAGCTGTAAATTTGGTGCTAAATTACAGCTTATCGATCGATAAAATTGGTATAAAAAATTTTAAATGAAAAATGTGAACATGGTGGTTGTTCGACTATGACTTTTCAATACTTTTATCAAAGATTTTACGCCAAAAATATATCGCCAAATTTTGCACAAATAAGAAGAAGAAAAATGAAAGAAATTTTCAAAACTTGAGACGAAATAGTTTAGAAAAAATGAATTTTTACCTGAGTCGGCCTTTTCCATATTTCCCAGACGAGAGCAGCCGAAAAGATTAATGAAAACACCACGATAACAACGTATAACAACGATAAAACTAAGCTTAAAGGTATCGAAAAATATGTAAACCAAAGGCGAAAACCGGGATATAAAATAGCGAATAGCTCCGTACTGCAAAAAAACATTATATGCATATTAATTTGCATAATAAGCCTCGTTTCCATGTTGCGCGAAGGCGCGGTTACTAAGTTTCGCAATTGGTCTATACTGGAGCTAAATTTCGAATTTGTGGTTGGCTCCCCCAAACTGAGAAAGCCAAAAAATGCCAGAGTCATAGCTGCCCAGATGCTAAATGAATGGTGATCGGTAAGCGAACTCGAATTTTATCCCCTTGCGATCGCTTTGTACCCAATAGTACTAGTCTTAACCGCACCATTTTTTGTAAACTCAGTGTAAGACAGTGGCGAACATGGAAGTGGCAGACGACGGTTAAATATGTTATAATCGATGTACACTTGATAGTTCTGGCCAAATATGCAATGTATGCTGTCAAAAGGAAGACAATGTTCGACTTTTGTCGCCTAAAATAATTTAAAAAAACTTTTAACCTTAATTACCGAGTTTTCAAAACACTCACCCGATTGAATTTGTCTCACGTATTCTGCGGGAACATTGTAGAATCCATGGCTGTATGCCACTTAATTGACGTGACGTCGCGGTAAGAACAGCCGAGTTAGTTACAAAATACGCGGATACGGATTGCTCAGGAGCATCATCAACGATAACCTCATCTACGCTGTTGTGGACCGGACTTCTGCATGGATGCCACAGCAGCTTTAGCGGCTGTTGTCGCGATCCGATCAGCCGATTTGTCGAGGATGGCCTGAGTTTGCGCTAAATGCGCATCATTGAAAGCGTTGAGGAGGATTATCTGAGGCATCTCTGACTCTAAAGAGCTCGAGGAAGCGTGCCGATGTTGTCGGTGAAGCAGCATGTTTTGGTCTTTGGAAATTAACTTACTTCGATAAACGCTGCTTCTTCAGGATTGTTTGCGGGTGTAGTGCAGTTGTCAATATTATATCGGTAGTAGAGGAAGACAGAAAAGGGTAGGTGGTGTTAACCGCTTTCCCATCGCTATACCTCAAAGTTGTTGGCAAAAATTTCGTTTCCAGGAGAAGATGGTCTTGGTTAGGAGAATGATATCCACCACAAGTACAAGCGTGTTAACTAATACCAATTTGTATAATATGCAATGAATATGCTTTCTTGAAAAGTTCAGGGCTATTTGTTAAAGAGTTATTAAGAATTGCATTTCCTCTGGTTGGAAAGTCGACCAGAGGCAGCATGCTGGTCATTGCAGATAGCTGATTAACGTTTAGTAATTATGTCTCCACCAAATAAACCAAGTTATGTGGGGAGATTTGTCGCGGGTTGCGAGTCGCGGGTTTTTTTCGCGGGTGGCGGGTTTTTGTCGCGGGTATATTTCGCGTGTCGTGGGTTTTTAAGCGATTTTTTTGTGCACATGATTTTTTTGTTCACGTGTATAGTGATTTTTTGACAATTTGTACTTTGCCCTCTGAATCTGTTATAGTTTTATGAATTCACATTTCAAGATTTTCAAAGCGTTATTTCATCTTTATTTCTAGTATTTGTATTTCGATAGCTGTTTCAGTAATGTTAAGAAAACACATACCACATATAATTTGCGGTTACAGTTTTTGTTTTTTATATTTAAAACCTTTAATATGCATTGCCTTGTGATTTGCAAAATATAATGCAGCACTGATCGAGTTTTTGTTCGGTTTTGACAACGTTCTTTCGCGTTCGTTTGCTTTTATCTAGGTGCGTTTCTGATACGACGAATATGCAAAATTACAATAATATCATAACACTTTTAATGCTAATAAACTCAGACACGAAACCGAGCTTTTTGCGACTATGCATTAATCTATTAGTACTAAAGAGGCTAAATTAAATGAGCTATACTAGTATAGGCAAATACTTTTTGCTACTAAGTTGTTAAATATAACAAACATTTAGGATAATGAAGTAGATTTCTATATTTAGTGTGGATTCTCCGATAGATATACTACCGGATGCAAAAAACTGTGCCCGACGAGCTCTTAACCTTCACTTTATTGACTTTATCAAACACCAAAAATAAAAGAATTTAATTAATAAATTTTGAAAACTATAAATTCTGTAAGCCATTTTAGAATTTTAAAACGTCTACAACTCCTTTTAAGGATAAACTACTCGTGAACCACCAAATAGCATTATAGCAGCTAAATCACGGCAAATCGATTAAAAAAACCAACGTATCTACAGGCGAAGAAAGGCGTAAAGAATCCAAACAAAGACGTAATCCAAACTAACTAGAAAGGTTTTCACACATTTTAGCCGTACGTTGCTTTGGTTTTGTCGTTTTGTATACATTTTTCACAGCGGACAGGATGCAAAATTCCGGCGGGCTGTGAAACGCTTCTCAGCCAATCAGATTGCTTCATTTACACAGTTAAAAAATAATATGCGATTACTTAATGGTTTCCGTGTTTGGATGGCCTGATCCAAACACGCGGGAATGTTGCGAGAGTTAAAAAAAGCGCGCGAAAAAACGACAAGGCCTGAATTTAAATTTAAATTCTTCAAAACTTTAAATTTCCGTGTTTGGATGACCTGATCCAAACACGGCCTTCGACCAATCAGAACACCCGTTATATACATGTTATTTTATATTGACTTTTACTCATGCGTTCACTTCGACATCGAAAGACAACGCTCATAAGTACCTGGTATATATGAGCTTTATATGTCGTTTTGCAAAGATATAACTGACAACTAAAATCACACATTGCAGTTTAACTTCAAAAGGGCTTATGAAAGTGTAAGTTTGAAGGTTTCTGGCTCTAACTGAAAGCTTTTACTTTCATTTCAGGTAACAATGGCCTCAAGAAAGACAAAGCTTTGTAAATCTTTAACGGATCCTAATATTGAAACATTTGACGGAAGGTATTATTTTTTGTTCCTTTTTATCAAATAAGAGCTATATTAAAATAGATGGCAGTGACATATTGCAATAGTAGCTATAATTTATTTAGTTTAGGTAGAAACCAGGGACGGTGAGCGCGTGAGCGTTGATAAAAATTTCCACGTAAACGGCGTGGAACATTCTTTTACGATTACATCTAGAAACTGATGGGCTCCGTTGAACAACTTCGAGCTTTTATTCGAGATCTCAATACATTTAATTCACATCTACAGTTTACTATGGAGATTGGTGCCAAAAGTTCTCCTCGCATCCTAAATCCCAAATATTAGGGATTGCGAGAGTTCACAAGATATTTAGGGAGGTTGGAAATATGACGCGGAATGAAGCACGTATGAGTGAGCGCAAGGCCGTGTATAGATCTTGTTGTTTTATTAGTAAATTCAATCCCAGAGAACTTGATATTGGTAATTGGTGATATTAATAATTCATAAGCGGAGAGGTATATCATTAGCAACTTTGTGATTTATTCTAGAGATATTCGGGTTTTTATATATTTTGATGTCTCTACTTTTGAATCGTAATAGTTTTAGTAACAGATCGTCCGTTGCTATAGCGACATACGTGTACAAAATGCACTACAAAATGGCCAATTGCTTCGGATAGTTGGAAAAGAAGCACGGTGACCCCCAATTTTTTTTCGTCCATCATTTCACTTGGAAGAAAAACTAACAATTGGCAAAATATAAAAAAAATTTTTGAAAAATGTAAAAATGACATTTTTTTCGATAATTTTTTTTTGCCATTATAGAATTTTTTGATATTTTGCTAATTGTTAGTTTTTCTTCCCAGTAAAATAATGCACGAAAAATAATGCAGTAAAATAATGCACGATTCAAAAGTAGAGACATCAAAATATTTAAAAACCCCAATATCTCTGGAATAAATCATAAAAATGCGTTGTTTGAACGTGTCAAAGTGATGAACGATGGAATTTTTGAAAACTGTATCGAGCCACCTTAAAAGGTTTCGTACAAACGGTCTACAACTAGTAAAAATGCAGTGGAAGGTTTTTTCGCATATGCGGCTGAGAGATGTGATTGTTGTAAAAACTGTCTGATCCAAAGTGTGTCTTTTCGTTCTACGGCCACTAGTCGTATAATATTTGTAAGGTTTTACGTGTACTTCGAAGAATGTTGTTTATCTTGCTCACTGTGTTGTTGTTATTTGCAAGGGGTTGGCTCCACACCCAATTTTAAATCCAGATTGGCGAATTACATAATTATTAAGTATGGAAAAAGACATGCAGCATAGCGCAATCACTTCATTAGGAAATTTAAATATACGCGATGACGACGACGCTAAATAACACACAAAGGGGAGTGGCACTACTTATACATCGTCGCGTTATCGCTGCTAGCTAATTTGTTAATAAACAAGTCAATGTGGACAACGTACAATGAAAAATGCTGATATAAAATATCGCGCAAATTTTGAATAATAAACAGCGGAGTTAACATGTAGTCCAGGGAAACCCGAGAGCTCGCTACTTTGTGTTTTGGCTTAGGTAACTTTTCTGCAGAAGAATTTTGTGTTTTACATGATGAATGCTAAATAAATCCTGCAATCCAGATTTTTTATATCAAGAGTATGTGCCTTTTAAGCTTGACGATATGGATGAATGTGAATGCTTAGCAGAATTTCGATTTGAAAAAGAGCATATTCGACTTCCAGCTGAAGCGTTGAGAATCCCGGCTTATTTCATTACGCAGCAAAGAAGTGGAATGGCTTAGACGAGTGGCTTAGAAGGGTTGTGTATGTTGTTAAAGAGAGTGGCATACCCATGTCGTTACAGGGACATAATCTCTCGATTTTCTCACCCAGTTCAGTATTGAGTATGTATGAACACAAGTCAGGTCATAAACTATCTTAAAAAACTCGTGACCATCGAATCAAACAGTCGAAGCATACTATGCTCCATCCTCAAGCACTTGAACTGCACGCTCAAGAAATTCATAATAAAGGTGCTCCATTACCAAATTGCTTTGGTTTCGTAGATGGAACCGTGACGTTTACAATGGACACAAACGTGTCCATGCTTTAAAATTCAAGTCAGTTGTAATTGCATGGTCACATGGGCTTATTGCCAACATGCATGTATGTATGGGCCAGTAAGTAAGAGTATAATTATATTTGTCTGAATTAAAATGCTATTGCATTACTGATTTACCCACATTTTTTCACATTTATACGCAAGGAAGAATGGATTCAGGAATGTTAGCAGAATCAATTGGAATGAAACCTTTGGCATAATAGACGACTTTTGATTTCGGCAACAAAATGGGAATTTCCGAAAAGAGCATACTCTAAATTAAGTAAAATCACCAAGTTTCGCTGCCAAATATTGTAAAGGACGGAAAATATAGCCATGCGAAGTTGGCTATTTTGTATACTTTTTTACTACAGCCAGAAGCGTAAACTAAATCCGACCGAAGTAAAAGTATACAAAATTGCCAACTTCGCATGGCTATATTTTCCATCCTACTTGACATTTTGCAGCCAAACTTGGCAATTATACTAATTGTCCATGGTAATTATCGCTACTCTGGTTTTAATAAATGAAAGTAATCACCACACAAAGATTGACTTTCACGACCCAACGTTTCGACACGCCGGTCTAGTGTCTTCATCAGGGGTGATCTGATGTTGAAACTCAGTTCCTTATATACTCTTAAATGACGTCAGCGATAGTATTCCCGGTCTCGGCAGTAATTGCTAACTTAGTAATGGAGGATGTCGAGCAAAGAGCTTTAGCCTCAAGTCCGGTCAAACCGTTTTTTATCACAAAGAACATCTTTACCTGTGGATGATAAAATCGATTTTTTATCCTTTTGTCTCAATACGACTTATTTCGCAGTTCAAAATCAGCCCTGGCGGAACACGTATGTCAAACTAACCATAACATTGCGTGGAATGATTCAAAAGTGATTATCACTAATGATCGTTATGGGACAAAGGCGTTGCTTGGAAGCCTGGCATATTGATGCGAGTCTTTGTGCCCTAAATAGGGATGACGGAAGCTATTTGCCATATATATATATATATAAGGAACTGAGTTTCAACATCAGATCACCCCTGATGAAGACACTAGACCGGAGTGTCGAAACGTTTGGTCGTGAAAGTTAATCTTTGTGTGGTGATTACTTTCATTTATTAAAACCAGAGTAGCGATAATTACGATGGATTATAATTATACCTGGTTGCTGTGAACTCATTAACTGAAACTAATTGTGGTATGCTCTTTTTAGTTGTGGTGATTTATTTCCTTCTTGTTACCTAGCTAGATCATAAGTTGGTCTATTGTGCTAAAGGTCCATTGAATGCGCACTCAACGAGTAACAGACAAAAGGGTCTCTATTCGGAACCAGCTTACCCTCTTGGGGTTCGTCTCCAAGCGCATTACCGCATTACACGACCAACCCAACAAACGAGAGTCTTTAATACCATGATGAGTTATACCAACAAGAGTCGCTGTTGAATGGTTATTTGGAGATAAATTAAATTATTTCAAATTTTTGGTTTTCAAAAAGAACTTAAAAATAGGCCTTAGCAGTGTAGGTAAAATGCATGTGACATGTGCACTACTGCAAAATGCACACACATGCATTCTACTTTCTTCAGCTTAATCCACCCACACTTCAACAATTTCTATAAATCTATAAACATGTCCAGTAAAAACCATATGAGTTTTGGGGATTGTCCCTACATAGCAACTTGCTTCTTCATAGTGTGACAGTATAGATGGGAAAATATTTTTAACATTAATGTTCATATTTGCAACCCCCTATTAGTTGAATGGTAAAAGTAAATTTTAGCATTAAGAAAGTAAATCAGCCAAGGACATAATGTAAGCAAATAAATAATGTTTACCTCTCCCTCGTCATTAACTGTATCATTCATTGTTATTTCTGGACTTTGTTAGTTAGTCTATAAAACAATAAGCGTCAATTAAATATGAAATTTTAAGAAACAACCCAACAGGAGGTTATGATGCAATTACGTTTTTACCTTTTATACAAGTGTAACTTTGTTATGTATTTCTCTCTATTTATTTGCTGTTGCTATTGCATCATTAACATCATTCGCTGCTTTGCTGTTCTAATTGTTGTCATGCACTATCTTGTTGCTGTTGTGCAGTTGTCTGCAATTGGTGTTGCTGCTCAATTTGCTTATTCCTGGCTACATTTCTTTGCTTCTTTGCTTCAAGTTCAGCTTTTCTCAATTCATATTCTTCCTTGGTTCTTTCCTTCAGAAATTCGACAGTTGTGCGAAAATTATGAAGGAAATGAGATACATGGAGGATTTAAATGCTAGCGAGACGTTGAAGTTAAGCTCTTGAAAATTGCCTATCTATTCCGGTACAATAAGGCGTCGTTGACATTAAAAAGGATAAATATAGACCTGTGATGTTTGAATACCTAGTGAAGTTCATTAAAGAGGAAGCAGAACTTGTTACGGATCCAGTATTTTCCCCACATGCAGGCAGAACGAAAGCGTGAGTTCTAGAAAGAGAAGGGAATGTATGTAAGAAACCATAACACAAGTAAATTTGGTTCATTAGCGTCTTAAAATCCTAAAGCAGATGAGAAGAAAGTGGCAGCAAGACGCGTCAAGTGACTGAAGTCAAAGATGGAAACAATTTCATCCCATCAAAACAAATGCAGTTAAAGCAGTTGGACCAGGGAGGGCATTCTGAGTTTATTGAAAAAATTTTGTTTTACATTGGTGGGTTTGTCGTTAAGAAAATCTTGAAGTCCGTTACCTGCACAGCTTGTATAAGCAGCCTCACATCCAGTTTCAGCATCCCAACACTAGAACATGATTACTGTGGCTCAAAATCAGCAAGAAATCCTTGTGATCCACCTGCCTCAGCCATCACATAGTTTGTAAACCGGGGTGGTTTGACCAATCCATCAAAATCGGTCTTTGCCGCGGAACATGTTTTACGCGGAACATGTTTTTAAAGCGATTGTCAGCAAGGATGAGAAACAAATCAGTTCGAACGAAAAATTACCGTCTGCCATCACTTCATGGCAGATGAATGATGTCGACCAACTGTCTTCGCTGATCACAAACCCGGATTAAATGGCATTCATGACAACATAGAGTGAAGCTATGATTAAATACACGGCCGATCGATATTTTACGCTTCGTCTTTTCACGTACGGCAAACATCATTCCGAGTCCGTTATACAAGAAGGCAAACCTAGTGAAAAATTTCAATTAACAAAGTAAATTTTATTCAAAAATCAGTGAAAAATCACTTGATATTCTTATTTAAACGGATAATTATACTTATCTTTCGATAAAACAAAGATGTTCTCTACAATTGTATTCTGTTGTTGTTGAAATCGTTGAAATTTGAATATATCTTTGTGATTTTGTCAAATATATTTTCCTCTGAAACAGTTGATCGTCTTCTTTCGTTCGTCTTTCGTCTTCTTATATGTATGCATATATATTTGTACTTTTTGTACTTTTTGCTCTTAATTGAGCCATGTGTTCACTTGTGGGGTTATATGTGATCTGTGTTTTATATGTTCTTTCTACACAAGTATAACCAACCGGGAAAGCAGAAAATTCTACTTGACCACGGTGGGAATCGAACCCGCGACCTTCGCATTTCTGGAACGATGCTCTAACGTCTGAGCTACAAGGCCAAGTTGGGAACGACTGTTACTTAAGTTGTTATTGACATTACGGAGTTTCGTCCTTACGTGTCGTTATGCAGTTACTTCTGCAAATGTTGATATATTTGTACTTTTTGCTCTATATATATATATATATATATATATATATATATATATATATATATATATATATATATATATATATATATATATATTGTCCTCGCTACACGGTGTTTCACGCCTGACCTTTTACAGTCAGACGATCTTCAGGCGACAAATTCAGGATTGAGTTCAATCATGGTTCAATGTTTGCTTGCGACGCATCTTCAACGGTCTGCTGACGAGCGCGCGCTTAGATGTTCGCGCCCCATTCTGCGTGCGTTTAAACCGCCCCGCATTGAACTTGTTCCGGTGGCAGCACTTCGAGAACAGTTCGCTTCTTTTGTTCAAAGATTTATTATGGTCTGCTTGTATTATGCATAGTTTTTCTGAAAGGCATAAGTTGCAGCACTTTTTACCAGCAGTGCGGGGGGTGGCGCGTTTCAAAATTGACCAGTTGATCTTGAATGGTTTCCCACTCGTCTTAAGTTTCCAGACATATTTCGACAGTTCTGTGTCTGTAGCGTAGCGTTCGTTGTTGATAGATCTCTTGTGATTCCTGTAGCGTTCTTTGAAGGTCGTAGCCGTCATTCCAATGTACTCTTTCGTCTCCTTTTCGTCCTTAGTCAGTATTATTTCGGCTTTATACACGATGTTCTTCGTCAAGCAATTTCCTTGAAGAGGGCAGCTGTCTTTGATTCTGCAATTACAGTTGTTGTTTTCGGTTCTTCCTGTGTTTCGTGCGTTGTTTAGTAGTCGATGGTTGTGGTTTGAGATTGCGCTTTTTATGTTTCCCATACAAGAGTAGCTCACTTTTATTGAGTTCCTATTGAAGATTTTGTGTAATGGGGATGATTGCGGAAAATGTTTGTCTAACAACTGTAGGAACTTGCGTGCAACGTTCGTACTGACATTTTTGCTGTATGGCGGATTGAACCAAATGATTTTCCTTCGACGCGCCCTTCCTGGTGACGAGGGGTTGATGGTGCGGTCAGTTTGGTAATGCATTTTGAAGTTGTAATTGCGGCGTTTGAGGGCATTCTCATAAAATGATGTTGAAGAGTCGAAGGATGCTTGGTCAGATGACAGGGTGGATATTCGATTGTTCACTGATGTTGGGATTTGTTTGATAATTGATGGAGGGTGATTGGATCTGCTGTCGATGTAGAGGGGATCGTTGTTTGGTTTTCGGTACGGCGAGTATTTCTGGTCTTTCAGGTTTAGGGTGATGTCGAGAAAGTTTAAAGTTTGGTTGTTGATTTCGGCGGTTATTTCCAGATCGAGTTGGTGGAAGATTTCGTGTAGATCTTTTCGAGCTTTATCAGCTGATTGACCACTGACACCTTTCAATAATGCTAGACCATCGTCCCGATACAACCCAACGCCGTTGCCGAACCTTCGTTTTAGTTGACTCAAGATGAATAGCCCGACGAGCTCGCAAATCTTGGCTCCATCATAACTTCCCATTGTGACGTTGAATAAGGAATCATTTCTCCGCTTCACCCAGGTTTTCTCGCCGTTAAAGAGTAAAGATTTTCGTGCGTGTTTAATAATGTCTATGTGCTCTTTTGGGATTGTAGTGAGGACCTTGCCCATGTAACGACTCGGTCGAGGAGGTCTTCTGTGATAGATGGGTAAAACTCGACAATATCAAATGAGAGAAAGGTATGGTTGGGCTTATTCTCGATTGATTGAAACTACTCGATCACGGATTGTGAGTTTTTCCATTGGTTCACGTTAATAATGCGTCGAATTTTGTTGTTGATGCTATCAAGTATAACTTTACTGACCTTCCCAAGGTCGCTTTTTGCAGGATTAATGAGACGGCATTTTAAGTTCGAGTTGAAGTTTTCTTTGTGATCTTTTGATCCTTTCTTGACATCACCCTAAACCTGAAAGACCAGAAATACTCGCCGTACCGAAAACCAAACAACGATCCCCTCTACATCGACAGCAGATCCAATCACCCTCCATCAATTATCAAACAAATCCCAACATCAGTGAACAATTGAATATCCACCCTGTCATCTGACCAAGCATCCTTCGACTCCTCAACATCATTTTATGAGAATGCCCTCAAACGCCGCAATTACAATTACAATTACACAAAATCTTCAATAGGAACTCAATAAAAGTGAGCTACTCCTGTATGGGAAACATAAAAAGCGCAATCTCAAACCACAACCATCGACTACTAAACAACGCACGAAACACAGGAAGAACCGAAAACAACAACTGTAATTGCAGAATCAAAGACAGCTGCCCTTTTCAAGGAAATTGCTTGACAAAGAACATTGTGTATAAAGCCGAAATAATACTGACTAAGGACGAAAAGGAGACGAAAGAGTACATTGGAATGACGGCTACGACCTTCAAAGAACGCTACAGGAATCACAAGAGATCTATCAACAAGACAACAACGAACGCTACGCTACAGACACAGAACTGTCGAAACATGTCTGGAAACTTAAGACGAGTGGGAAACCATTCAAGATCAACTGGTCAATTTTGAAACGCGCCACCCTCCGCACTGCTGGTTAAAAGTGCTGCAACTTATGCCTTTCAGAAAAACTATGCATAATACAAGCAGACGATAGTAAATCTTTGAACAAAAGAAGCGAACTGTTCTCGAAGTGCTGCCACCGGAACAAGTTCAATGCGGGGTGGTTTAAACGCACGCAGAATGGGGCGCGAACATCTAAGCGCACGCGCGTCAGCAGACCGTTGAAGATGCGTCGCAAGCAAACATTGAACCATGATTGAACTCAATCCTGAATTTGTCGCCTGAAGATCGTCTGACTCTAAAAGGTCAGGCGTGAAACACCGTGTAGCGACGACAATAATTTAAGATAAATTCAATAAATGATTCGCTCTACTTGCATAATTCAATAAATGATTCGCTCTACTTGCATGTAATTAGTATTGAGCACTCTTTTATCCATTACAATTACACTTGGATATATATCTATATATATATATAATATATTATATATATATATATATATATATATATATATATATATATATATATATATATACACACCCGTTTGCAAAAACGTTGGCCGCAGATAGATATATAGATAGATACCCGAAATCTATAATTAGAATTGCATATGTTGTGTAATATGATTGAAATCCCATGCAAATGTATTCATATGCAATTCTAATTAGACTTCGAGTATCTATCTATCTATCTATCTGCGGCCAACGTTTTTGCAAATGGGTGTATATATATATATATATATATATATATATATTATATATATAATATTTATATATATATATATATAATATATATATATATATATTATATATATATTATATAAATGATGATGATTGCCACTCTGTTGCATGAAACTCAGAGTAGCGATGCCAATTTTTTTAAGAATTATGTAAATGAATAAATGTATATTGCTCTATTTGCTTGCAGTATTGAGCATTCTTTTATCTCATACGAAGAATTTCTTAATAATTGTTTATATATATATATATATATATATATATATATTATATATATAATATATATATATATATATATATTATATATATCTTATATTATATATATTATGTTATACACCAGTTTCCTCGATTATCACAACCTTATAATTACATAGAATATTTTTCATTTAGGGCTTACATCCTTTTATTTCGGAAGGGCTATCTACAGAATCCTTTACGTTTATCTTAAATATCTTAACAGATTATCCGGAACCGAGGTAATATCGTAATTTAATAATTAAATGCTTGGTATAAAACTTGTATATAATTTGCTTTGATATAACAACACGAATCCTTATTTCTCGTCCCTATATGTATTTTAATCATTATATTCCAGAATGACCTATATACAGCAAGCAATATTTGCCAAATACTAATTTAAATCCAGTGTTCAAATACACTATACTACAGGGGCCGGTTGTATGAAAGCCGGGTATCGCTATCCACCGGATAGTGATTTTTTTAACCGTTCTAAAAATGCTCGAAAAGCGGTAAAATTCAGTTCAACTTGGAAGCAATTATTAAAGAGGATCCTCGATTTAGGAATACTGAGATTTAATCAAAGTTGTAGCAAATAACTGGGCGATTTGAAGCGATTGAAAAAACCACTATCCGGTGGATAGCGCTATCCGGCTTTCATACAACAAGCCCCAGGAAGAAACGTCAGCCTTAACAAGCCAATTTTGAGTAAACCACAAAAAAATAGAAAAAGAAACATCTGAAAAATAACATGTTGTGAAATCAAGATTTGAGCGATTGACAACTAGAGAAAATTTTCACGCGATGATAATTAGCTAACCAGAATAAAATTATTTACAAGCTTGTAGACAGGCAGTTATCTGGACGCCGTAATCTATAAAATATTGCCCAAAATGCAAACGAAAATGGGTTACAGTGATGTAGTTCACATTTTCAGGATTATTTTGATATCCTTAGCGTCAAAATCGAACCTTTAGAAGATTTTTGCCGATATGTATGAAATATGCATGAAGATATGAATTATTGTATCACTGACAATAATATTCCGAATAATAAAAAGATCGAAAGACATTTTGGGAAAAAAAGCCGAAAAACTGACCCCTTGGTCCCTGGGGTCAATTTACCCTTGAGGGGAGCAGTAAGGGACTTTTGTCACATTTCCAACCACATGACAACATTCAGAGCACGTAGAAGCACGCGCTTAGCAACGTTTATCGTTTGAACTTATAAAACGTCATTTCTCCGATTTTTTTTGCACATCCTACCCCCCAAATTACTCGGAATTATAACAGAATGGTATATGTAAAATTTAGACATTTTGTAAACAGGTGAACAAAAAAGCGAAAAAAACCCACGGAATTTCTAAAGTATATGGCTGCTATGGCTGAGTAGTTCGAGATAACAAAGCACCAGTTATCTTGACTCTTGTTTTGACTTATAATACCAATGCAGTTTATAACTATCTGCTGATTTGAATTTACTATTAAAGTAAACCTTTCAAGCGCTATCGTTTGGAGGTATTACGGGGTCTTTGGCCCAAAGATTTGCAGAAATATTTGGTTTTGCTTTCTCCCGACAATATTGTCGGGATTAATTGCTGTGAGACAAGAGTGAGAAAGAATGAAAAATATGTCAGATTTATGAAAAGACCGCAAGTTTTTTAGACGTTAGCTGTTAATCGAGACATTCAGATTTGCCATAATAAAGTCGGAGTTATAAACATTTTTCGGAATGTAAAAGGCTATTTTAACGTAAGCTTGCACCACCTCTTCATTTATTTATTTATTTTTTATTATCCTTTGCCAAATCAACATAAAATGTGAACGCAGTAAATCACTACTGAGATGGCTGGGTTCTCGTTACAGCTTTGGCTAATTACAACCAGTCGAAATAGACACCATACAATATACAAAACAAATACATTTAAACTGAGATGTAAAGCAGATACTTTGTTCTTACAAAATATTCAGCACCTGAGGAGCTTTCAATAAAGCGAAAACGTTTGTGCAAAATGATTAGATTTAGTGTTGTTTGATATCCTTTGTCTGATCTTCATTGCTTCCAAGACAAACTTTTTATATATATATATATATATATATATATATATATATATATATATATATATATATATATATATATATATATATATATATATATATACAGGGTGTATCAAAAAAAATGTCCCAAATGTAAAAATTCCGTTTTTCAGGATATTTTGCAGAATTTGGCAAATTTTTGTGTTCCTAGAGATAGTTAAGACTTATCTGGTATACCTAGGCCAAGTTTGGTTTTTCATTAACAAAATTATGTTACCGGGGGGGTGGTTCCTTTCCAATGATATTGAGAGGGCTTGCGCGCGAAAATGTGAAGCTGAAATTGAGATATTATTTAGCTGTCTAAAAGTAGGAAAGCTTTTTAATAAACTGTCAAAGTTTCAGAAAAAATAATGCATACTGGGAGCAACGCGCGACCCCTAAAGCTGACAAATATTTCATTGTGCGCAGTGGATTAAGTGCATCGTTGATTTTAGCGTGACCGATCTCATGCAAGGCTGGGCAAATGAATAAATTAAAGCGAATAATGGAAATAAAAAAACAAAAAACAAAACCGAGGCGAATTTTCAATTCCGTCACTAATATCGGAGTAATAATAAAAAAAGAAACAAAAAAAACCTAGGTGAATTTTCAACTCCGAGTAATATAAAGACGGCTAAAATAACAAATTGCATTATGGTACACTGGCGGTCAAAAATAACTGCTCAAAGAAAGTTAGAATGGTCTCAAATGAACGTAACTGTCCCTCTATACCACATATATTAGTAAATATAGACTAGGTTACATGCTAAGCTATATAAATGAAATATTAATATTTTGTTGACTTTCCTTTGCCATTGATGACAGTCTTATATACAGGCGCTGCATACTTTCTGTTAAGGTGGTAAACTTAATTAGTTAAAGAAAATCCATCCCATGGACATGCAGTCTTTACAGCAACCCATAAATCATGGACGTTTTGTGAATTGATTCATCTCTTGCGCTATCCGCTCGACATTGTCCCACATATTTTCAAAAGGGTTGAAGTCGTTTGACTGTGCAGGTCAATCCATTCCTATCACTCCCTTTTTCTGAAACCATTGCTTGACTATCTTGGAGGTGTGGCAGGTCGCATTACATTATTGAAATATTGCTTTGAATGAGAATTTTATCCGAAATGCCTATGAACCCCTCTTCTATATTTGCTTCTTTTTTATGAATTTGTGTCTAAGCAGTTCTTTCTGACCGCTAGTGCATATTGAAAAAATTATTCTCACGATTTCTGTTAGATACGATTTATAATAGCAACATTTGAGAAGTTGACAGTGTACTATAATTATGCACCTGATTGCTGAATAATGGTGCACGTCAGCTTAATAATAGTTTTTTGTGTTTTGTGGTAAAATTGCGATGTTTCTTTTTTAATGAAGTTTTTTTTAAACACGCACCTATCTTCACTCTAGGGTGAATCCAGCACTAGTGCACTCATTTGCATGACACAAGAAAACTGCTAAAAATAACCACTTTGTTTTGTAATGCAAATTTGTGCGCTATAGTTCTGGATCGATTCCTGTCGGAAGACCGATTGACTCATTTTTCCATCAACTGTTCGTTATTTGAATTTGAAGTGTGTATAATTCCACTCGATATTAAGACCCTTTGAAACATTAGAATTTGTATAATATTACTTTCAACTACGTATAATAAAAAGATAAAACCATATAAAAAAGAACTAAAAGATATAAAGCGATTAAAGGCGTTGTACCCGAGCTTGCATGTGCCGTTTACCGTCGAAAAGGTGTGTGAAATCTTTCATTCAAGTAGTGTGAAAGCAATCGTCATAGCCCCTGAAGAATGAGCACTATACCAGGCATTGAACAAAACTTAGAATGAATTGGCTGACCTAGATCTATCTCGTTTTTGAAGCGCAAAGCAAAGAGAGGTAGAGCACCGACTATCGCAGAATATGCAATGGATAACAACACGGATAAAAGGTTTACACCGTGGCTTCCACCAAAAGAGAAACCTAACGAACAATCAACTCGTAGAATGTTGACCTTCGCCATGAAAATAACCCTTTTGTTTATCATGATGAACCACATGTGTACCTATGACAGTGGTCATATGTATACATGTTGTTCTTGAAGATAAAGAAAAGGATTTGGCTCAATTATTGTTGTTTGTGGTATAAAATGTAATTGTTATGCTGAGAAAAAGTTTTCTAAAACTGTTTCTTTACACTACAAACTAGTTTCTTTCGAACATTCTCGATCACCTTCAGTGACCTATGAGATAAAACTACAGTCCAAAGGTGGCCCTATTGGTCTCCAACTAACTGGGGTTCTTGCACAATATTTTATGGTTTGCTGCTAGAGAGAATTTCAACAGAAGATGAAAGAGATATGATTGGAGGTATGGATGTACAAACGTTATGTAGAGGATTTAAATTCTATTGTGAGTTTTCCCAGCTGGGTTTGAGATGAAGCTGCTGCCGAAGAAGATCGGTTGATATAGAGGCGGGTGAAGGAACGATGCGTTTATTCCACTCCATAGCGAAAGGCATTCACCCATTTAATAACATGGAGGTTGATTGCCCACCATTCTTCCCATAAGCGCAAGCTTCCCACACTCGATTTAAAAGTCTGGATTGAGGAAGGAAAAAGGAATGAAAGACCAATGAATGAAAAATTCATATTACATGAGTTTTACTTTAAGGATTCGAGAGATCAGCCCTTTCAAGGAGTAGTGAGAGAACAATAATTACACAAGAAATGTTGGGAATTCTACTGAACTGTTGCACGAAATTATCATTGGAAATAGTTGTAGATCATGTCAACGATATGATGATACGTCTACAATTTCATAACCAGAAATTCAGGGAATCAATTACCATAACGCCCTGATTATAATTAATTATCATAATCAAAGATGGCTGCCTTGTTACAATAGAATTATATAAGTAAGGCACGAGACAAAATTTGAAATTAAAGAAACTTCTGTTTACATATTGCAGTTGCCGCGTTCGATTTAAAACGGGCAGAAATTCAGTACTGTTATAATTTTTTTCCATATTTTTATCTTACCTTTGTCGGGTTCCCCAGTATTGTCATCTCAGCAATACGTCAGCTCCTTGAAATGTAATGGTTAGCTAGTTGCTGAAATAAGATGACATGGGAACCTGTTAAAAGTTAGATAAATATGAAAAA